TGACACTGCACTCGCGGAGCACTTGGGATCGTCAACAGTCTTCAGTGGTATGTCAAACACCATACAAAATGACATAATTGAGAGCATAGCTCGTTGTATCCAGGATGAGACTGATAAAGAAATACACATTTCTCCTTTCATTGCTGTACAAGTGGATGACACATCAGACATCTCCAATAAGTGCCAACTCACTATCATAATCAGATATGTGAATGAAAAAGGCAGTGTGTGTGAACGTTTCCTCGGCTTTTTTGATGTCAGCTTAGAAAGAGATGCAAAAGCTGTAACATCAGTTGTCATGAGAGCCATCGGGAACTACAGCCCAACAAACAAACTGATTTGTCAGACTTATGACGGAGCAAGCTGCATGAGTGGACAGCACGGTGGCGTTCAGGCTTTAGTGAAAGCACACTGCCCCAATGCGCTATTCATCCACTGCTATGCTCACAAATTAAATTTGGTTTTAGCACAAGGCACAAACAACATCCAAGCAGCCAAACTGTTTTTTGCCAATCTCGATGCCTTCCACAATTTTTTCTCACGTTCATGTAAGAGATCAGCACTACTGTCTGAAGTTGATCGAGCTGTGCGTGTACCAGGGGGTTCTGCTGTGAGGTGGAATTTTAAAAGCCGCGCAGTACACGCCATCCATGAAGGACGCGGGTCGCTCTGTATCGCTTTTGACAGGATAATGACAGAGCCGGGATGGGACAAAGAGACCATTGCACAGAGTGCTTCCTTGAAGCAAAAACTTGAGGATTTTGACTTCACCTTCCTGCTCGGGGTCTTTCAGTCCATTTTCGGCCTCACAGAACCACTCTTCCAGGTTCTGCAAAGCAAGACGGCGGACATAAAAAAATGCCAGGATCGGATCATGAGCACTCTCAGCGCTCTCAAAGCCACAAGAACAGATGAGACATTCAGTCGCATTTACGATGACACGGTCAAAGCAGTCGGCGATCCTGTGCCCCGACGTAAACGACGTCGCCGCGGCTGGGACGACCTGGAGCAAGGGTTTAACCAGCACCAAGAAGGAGACGAGGAAACGGTTGTGTCTTTCCGGCGTCTTTACTTCCAGATTGTTGACGGCATAGTGTTGCACATGACCCAAAGATTTGCAGATATGGAGCACCTGCACTTTTTTCGGATACTGGAACACACATCATTCACATCGTTCTGCAACCCTGATGCATTTCCCAGCAGTGAGCTGGCTCAGCTGATCAACACGTATCCATTCTTTGATGAGCAGAAGTTAAGGAATGAGCTGCACACGCTGTACAACAACAGGTTGTTTCACAAGCCACCAGGAGAGCTGATACAGCTTCTTATTGAGGATGACCTACAGGGCACACTCTCCGAGGTCTACAAGCTGCTCCAGCTCATGCTCACGATACCAGCCACCAGCACATCAGCAGAGCGCTCCTTTTCCTGTCTAAAAAGGATCAAAACGTATCTGAGGAACACGTGTGGACAGGACAGACTTGTCAACCTAGCCACAATATCCATTGACTCTGTTGTTGTGGAGGACCTAAAGGCCGCTGGGAAGTTCTATGACATTGTTATTGACCACTTCGCTACCATGAAAGACAGGAGAATGGCCTTCCTCTTCAAATAGGGTGAGTGAAATGCACACCCCTTTCTCTCTGTGCATACCTGTTGCCTGAACTGCCCGTGTAGCTATGTGTGCAATTTCTGATGTGGTTCTGTTGGTTATTGTGCATTGCTTGCCTGGATTTAGCTGCAGGTGTTCAGTCTGAAGTAGTTGTTTTATTGCAGTTGTTTAATTAGCACAGGGTGCTGCTATCCGAAAATCAGCACCGCAGATAGCATGCCATATAGGGCCCGATCACCTGAATAGATGAGATTGTTTATATTTTTGTGTTACTTTTGGACTACGGACTGAACTAATTACAGAGACGAGGACTGTTGCTGCACTTGCAGTGTGTGTTAGTGTAACAGATGTAAATATGCAGTGGGGTTTATTTAATTTAATTTTGTATAATCACACACATTCTGTGTTTTATATTATTGTATTCTGTGTTCTTCATTTTATTGAATGTTAAATACCTGGCAAGGTCGGAGAGCTGTGCTCAGGAGTTTATTGTTGTGAGGACTTTAATTTCCTTTCTTTGTGATTTTACTTTTTGTATATATTGTGTCCCTCACGTTTCCTCTTCCCTTTTTGTAAACGTTCCAAGCAATGAGAGGAGTCACTGAGGGAAATGTATGTAAAACTGATCATTGTATCTGTTATCAGATTCAGACATTAAACAGAGATCGTCTCAACTTTACGCTGACTCGGCGGGTCTCGTCCATTATCAACACAACGCATACTGATACTTTGATGTGAACGTAAAACTTTAAAGGTCTCCTGATTTAGTTTGTGAATGAATGCTTCTTATTTATTAATTACCGAATCTGCACTGCGCATTGAGCGGCTGGTATTGCATTGGTGGGTGGAGGTTGGCATAAATTAATAAGAAAATGCTTAAATTAATAAGACGAGAGAGTTTCAGCTGGAGAGTGCATGCGGACCTGTCGCTTAGATAACAGGCGTGTACAAGTCCTGCATCTGTATGATACAAATGTGTGTAAAATGTTACCGGGCGCTGTAATCACTCATCTGGTTACGTTATTGACCACCCCCCCCCCCCCCCCCCCCCCCCCCGACCCAAAAACATTGGCTTCCCCTACATTTTTCCCCACCCCACGCTACTGCAACGCACGGGTCTCTTCGGAGAGCTCCTGGGGTTTTATCCGTCCTAGCTTTGGCGAGTTGCCTCAGGAAGTCGGAGCAAACACCTCACACAATATTTGATGCAGTGTGTGTTAAGGGAAAGCTCTGATCAACCAACCAAAGATGGTGGAGAGCCGAAGCTGGTATTCTATCTATTACATTTTCAGAAACAACGCACTAAATCAACGCTAATATTGCTCCACATCTGCCGTTTGTGTAAATAAGAACTGTTTGCTAACACGTTGTGCAGCCCAAAAATCAAACATATGCAAGTTTAAAAGCCAATAAATCGTAAAAAACAATACTTTTTTTGATGCTTTTCTTTGTTGTATACGACTGTGAATCGCATATGTTTGGACTGGACAAATAATTTAAAGATTGGCTTTGAGAAAGTGCGATGAACATTTGTATTTTGTTGCTGTGTAACAAATTATAATGAAAACAGTTGACAGTTGCAGCCCTGTGTGAGATTACCTTCTTACAGGTGGATTTTTTTCTCATTTCCCCTTGAATGTGAAGAGGCCTCAGGCTCCTAGCTGCAGGCGTTGCTTCTGTTTACCTTCCCTGTCTTCCTATCCTCCCGTTTGACTCGCACACAAACACCTTCGCAGAGTGCTTAGACGTACAGGCAGCAGACAGGGAGCGTAAAGCACTTCCTCTGCTGCTGCTGCTGAGCGATGAATCAAAGGCAGGGGAGCTAGCACAGACAGGGTGGGACAAATGGAAGGCAATACACCCGGTAGGCATTTACCTTAATGACCTGAATTACTGCCATCACCCTCCCTTCCAAAAAATACACACGCCAGCCATCTCATTAGGCCACTCATCACTGCAGAACAAAGACCACCACGGTGTGTGAAGGTGTGTGTTTGTAAGGGAGGGGGTTGGAGTGTTTATCCTGGGCTTTGTCCCGGTGCAACACACACACACACACACACACACACACACACACACACACACACACACACCTCATGAGATAAGGGATCGATTGGATTGGCCATGGTTGATGGGTGTCTCTACAAAAGGACCAGTCAGGCTGAAGGCTGTATCAATCAGTCTCAGTGTGTGTGTGTGTGTGTGTGTGTGTGTGTGTGTGTGTGTGTGTGTGTGTGTGTGTGTGTGTGTTGGGTGGGGGTTTGGATTGAAGGGGTTGGCTCAATCTCAGCCCCACTGATCTAATAGGAACGGCGTCCCCCCCTTGCTGTTTTATGAAGCAGAGAGAAGAAGTAAAATGGCTCCAGGCGGTCGGCCAACACAGTGCAATAAAACTAAATTCTCACTCTGGCCGACTTTCATTTCTCCGCCTTTCTATTTCCACAGCGCACACATACTGTGGGGGGTGAAGGAATTTGAAATCCGACCTCCTTGTACGACTGGCTTGTGGTGTTACTAGCTCTGAAGTGTACAAAACAGCACAAATCCAACTATTTTCTGCTCAAAATCTGCTCGATTGTGCAAAACCTGTTCATTGATTCTTTAGTTTTGCGTGGTTTACAAAGTTATTCAAACATGGCTCAGGAATTCTAAGCTAGAGACCCGCAACAGCTGTGTGTCCATTTGTCCCCGCCCATCACACACACACACACACACAACATACGCCTCACTCACGCCTGACTGCTGTGTTATTCCCTGCTAAGGCATTGAGGGGGAGGAGGGGGGGGCGCAGCAGCTGGTTAGGACCCTGAACACAAAGTCCAACCAACAAGCGATAAACATTTGGAGAGCCAGTACACGTGTTGCACAACAAAACTTTCCCAAAAAGCCGCAGTGGGAGGAATGTCAAAGTGTGTTCTCCAGATGTGTGAATGCGCTCAATCCAGCCTTTCATTATCCTTCCTTTCCTGTTTCTGCTTTAGCTTTTCTCTGCTGGGAAAAATTCATAAATCAGATCCAGCTCTTTGATGCTGTGTGACACCGAACTATACGTTTGTATGTAGGTAAAAGGTGACTGGGGGAAACGTGTGGAGCTGAAACTCAGACTGTGAAAAAGGGATTAACCCAGCTTTTTATTAAAATGGGTCACGGATTCATTTCATTATTCAGAAATGTAAGCCTGGGCCTCTTAATATCCTATGAGTTGGACATTTAAGGGCACCAGTGTTACAGACGGACACATATGGATGAATCTGATCATCGCAAGAGATGCATTATGTCCTCAGAGGTCGCAGAGGGTTAGTGACCTGCACGCACGGACATGTTGGGACATTTCACCACAGCAGATTCGACACGACACAAGAGAGAGGTGATGGAGGTTCATAATTACCTGAGGTGTCCCACAAACTGAGCTCAATCCTCTGCGTGTCGATTTCAAAACTGGCGGTGTAGTTTTCAAACACTGTGGGGACGTAGGTCTGCAGGAAACAGGAATAAAAGACGTGTTTACATCATACACTTAGAGGGGGAGAAATGATCAACAATGAGGCTAATAGACAGGGGAGTACGGCTTACCACCTGGCGCGCGGTAATACAACATGTACAATAACTAGCATCATAATAATTACCTCTTTTATTGTAAGTTCGTCCTTCAGTAAAGACATTCATTGTAATCAACATTTGCTTGCCTCTAGTTTTTTAGCGCTGTATCTTTGCTGTTGTAATTGTGTGTGTTACAAATAAAGGATGTATTATTTCTGTAAAAATAACAGCAGCACTAATACATATTACAGCTTCAGCACATAGGCATCAAACAGACTATAGGTAACACTCAATGCATGCCCTTCAGCATCCTTGCAGCACACACACATCCCTCTCCATACCGCACAGCTTATACATCCCATAATGATAGATAGCGGGTTAATGAGCGTTATGTTCTCACCTCGGGGAAGCAGTCCTTGGCGAACACGTGAAGCAGGGCGGTCTTCCCGCACTGGCTGTCTCCCACCACCACGATCTTACACTTCACACTCTGACTGGGCTCCATGCCGGATAGCAGAGATAGTTTCTGACAGGACCGTCTCTCCTTCATTGATTTCAACCGGAACAAAATAAAAATAAAAGTCCAATCAGGAGACGTAGAAAAGCTGCAGAAGCGTCTCCTTTATGTTGCGTCTCCTTTATGTTGCGCCTCCTCCGGTTTCTCCGCTGCTCTGAGCCGGTGAAAGACACTGGCCTCTATTTATAACATCTCACGAGCCTGACCGGATGACGCGCGCGCCTCCCTCCTGCAGCGCGTGGCCTCCAGCAGGGCGCCCCCGTTTGGACAGTCCAATAACCACAGCTATCAACATTCAATACAAACTTGTACTATATTGTATATGTGTAGGAAGACATAAAGAGACACATACGACAATTTCAAGGATGTATAGGACATTTGACAATGTATATATAAAGTATCCAATGTTTATACTTTGTAAGTTGGTCTCTTAAGTTTCTTTAGTGTATTCTAACTAATTCTGTATATTTTGTACTGTGTCTGTTCATGTTTATTTTCTATTTTAATTCATGTGCAATCCCTTGTGAACATGCAGATGCAACAGTTTTCCAATGTGGAATCAATAAAGTACATCTAATTAAAAAAAGACAGGAAGGCAACAATGAAGCAGACCCATTGTCTTTTTAAGGAACATTTTACTGCATTGGTTTTCTTTGTGTATAATAAATAAAAAGATGTATCAACACGTCTCATTATCACCTTTATATGTTATCTTAGTTCCTACAGAGAAGTATCCCTCTTCCTGCATACTAGCTGAACATTGTGCGCAGGTATTGATCGAGTCACCCATGTTTGTTTCTCTAGAAGCAATCAAATTTGGAAAGCCAATAAACCCAGTGCTGCTTTGGTTTCCCCTTATTATCTGAGAACAATACACACACTTATTATAGCAGAGAAAACACATTATGAGAAGATGGAGAAAAGATTTCCCTGCAGGCTTCACAATGCACCACATTTCCATCTTTCAGTGTGAACAGACCCTCTTGGTCCCAAGGCATCATCTCCAAGCCTTCGGGCTGCTTTCCCAACATGGCAGCACTAATTTCTCTACAAAAATGGGAAAGCAGCAGCGTTGTGCATCAGCTCTCCCCTCTGTGACAGAGTGATTGGACTCTGTGTGTCGCTGGCAGCGTTTTGTTTTACAGTGAGACAGCTCCACCCTGCAGGCTGTGAGCTGGGAGTCCCGTCTGTTGTGTGGGAGCATCACTGCCAGCAGAAAAAAACGGATTTGAGTCACTATGGCTCTGCTATTTGGCTGCCATCTCTGTACCGTATGCATTTAACCCCATCACAATTCTGTCTTAATATGGAAAATATGTTGATTTTACCTGCATGTGCTGCAACACAATCATTTTACGTCTCATCTGTTAACCTTCCATGGTCTTTATCATCCCAAATAAATGCAGCTAGCTGAAATATGAAAGTGTCACAGCAGAGGTGAGCAAAACCACATTAGCTGAGGTGTTTACACACTGCGCCCCTGTGCCCTTCTCTCTGTGTGTTGGTGTGTGTGTGTGTGTGTGTGGTGTGTGTGTGTGTGTGTGTGTGTGTGTGTGTGTGTGTGTGTGTGTGTGTGTGTGTGTGTGTGTGTGTGTTATAGCCTGAAGCATTGCCAATCTCACTTGCAACCACACATTTGGGTCAAAGTGAGAATGTGCAGAAAGATCTTAAAAGGAAATGTCTCCCATTTATTTATCTATACCAATCTGTGATGTATCGAGGGGTTTTCTTATGTTCAATAGTCGTCTTTTTGTTCCCTTAGCCTGATCTACATCTCTGACTTCAATACATTTCCCAAAAGGCCTTGTAGCAAACATGATCTTTCTTATACAACAATTGTAAAACTGGCTTTCATTTGGGACGATTTCTGAATAAAAACATATGAGAACAATAAAACAATCCAAAAACTTGTTGAAAAATCCCATTGGCTTTTTGTCATGGGAACCAACTAACTTCCTCTTTGACTTGTCATCCCTGCAGTGCTTTATTTCAGCTCAGAGAAAAGACTCACATCCTTGAGAAGAAGAAGAATCTACACTCCACATGTCCTGTATTGCATTCTGGTCTATCGAGTGTTAAGTCAATATATACATTCCCTTCCCCCGTGCATCTACAGCATGATTGATGTTTCTCACTGAAAGAGATAACAAAACAGGTCCAGAACACACAGCTAGTCGACATTAAAGCGGCCCTTTGTGTGAATGGGATTGGCAGGCAAGTGCAGCCGCCCAAATACTGTACATGCGTGCGTCCCAGAATAGCAATGAGGGTGCCACCTGTTTCTGGTCACATGGTGCCGTCAACATCTTGCACATTTCCATGACGGCATTCAAACACGGAGCTCATTTTTCCTACAACATCAACACATGCATTTTTAATTTGTACCCCTACAGCAGTCTTTACTTTGGAGGCTTTATTCACAGGAAATTGTAGTTTGGCATCAGCTGGGTTTCAGGCATGATCTTGAGGTATCCTTGAGTAAAACGTCAATAAACTCAAATACTGCAGCACTCCTTTGGGAACCCTTTAACCACGTACCACACGCAACAGAATACAGCAGAAATACCTTCCTTTTTTTGCCTTTCTGTGAATATATGATGCAGGTTTTTGAAGGAAAATAGCATTTTAGTCCTTGAATTAATTATTTTGAATGCTTAAACTCCAATGTATCATACCAAGTAATGATATAGTGTACATTTGAATGAATACACTGTGAATAAACAGAACATTTAAGGCATACACACACTTATTGACCTTGGTGTGTATTCCCGTAATGCTTTATTGCACAACTAGGTCAGCCGTATCTACCTTGCAGTATTTTGTAAAGCCCTTCCACATGTTGGCACCCTGACAGTTGGAAACATGGCATTAAATCAGCTATTTTTAAAGCCACAAATAACTGAATTATTCATACTGAAAGTACCTCAGAGCAGAAATGCTGGAGTTTCCGATGACAACTTGTGTTTTGCATGGCGAGCAAACATCGCTACCCTGCAGGTCAGGGTCACGCACCGATGCACGTAATTCCTCCTGTGTGAGGGGAAAATAAGAACATTTGTCAGGTTTGTGCAACGATTTTCCCAGACATTTTTATTGAGAAGAAGCGTCAGCAATAGTACAGACTTCTTTGGGGTGGAAATCATGCTTCCCTTTTTCAACATGGAAGACAAACAGACGTACAACATTCAGGAGAAGACAACATACAAACAGATGTAATACTTTAATATGCAGATAAAGTTAAAGTGCAGGAATATATCACTGTCTTTAATGGCGCGTTTCCACTGCAGCGGGTAGCTCGCTTTAAGCGTGCCGAACCGTGCGGGGCCCGTTTTTGGTTGCGCTTCCACTTGGCCTAGTTTTTCACCTTTTTTCTGGCCCGACTAAATCGTGGTTCTAGGGCCAGGAACAACCAGGCTGAGTCGGGCTGAGTATGCTAAACTAGAGAAAGAATCGCTGGCAAGGGGGCTACAACTACAACAAGATGAACATATTTGACCGTGATTTAATTGTAATACACGTTTCAAAATGATGCCGAAGTAACAACATACTGATACCGGTTAGTAAAAACCATGAATTAATGCTTTGACAAGTCTGCAGACAGACGGCAGGCGAAAAACCTTTTAAAATGCGTGTTTTCTAAATGGAGCTTGGCTAAGCTAACGTTATATATGCTCCGACCGTCCACACTCACAACAACGGCCTATACAGACATAAATAAAGCAGCGACTGTATTCTCCATGACACAGGCAGTCTGTGGTTTGTACTTGTTTAACTTTTGTCTAGTTTCTGAACAGATATGAAGAGCTGTGAGCTCTGAGTGCTAACAGCTAACGGCTGTGTTGTTTTTTGGGGCGCTCATTGAAGATTACGTCACGGCTCCACCTACACTGCGTTACTATAGTAACTACCCTAGTTCCTAAACTGTAATGGAAGCGCAGCATTAAAGTGACCCTGGCCTAATAAGGCCTAACCAAACCGAGCGAGGCCTGCAGTGGAAACGCGCCATAAGTCTGTTTGTCTTTGCTTTAAGACATATGTAGCGATGTTGTTATCCAAGCATTTTCCAGACATTTTAAGCAATCACAGGTACAGTAAGCATTTATAAACGATGGTTTTAAAAGCATGTCTCAAGATGATGAAGAATGAGTAACTAACAGACTGATTTGAAGTGAATTTAAAGGGGTTTTTGCTGCCGGGGCTGCAGAGCTGGAGGTGTGTGAGGAGGAGTGTAGGTCAGTGGGCCGCGCTGCCCCTCAGTTATCTCTGTCGTCGTGCATTCAATCAGCGACGCACTGACATTTACTGCCGGGGCAAACACACACACACACACACACACACACACACACACACACACACACACACACACACACACACACACACACACACACACACACCCTCGCTCAGATTGAGAGGGATTTCCTCGACGGTTAGTCACCGCGACTGGGAAATTAAGGGCAGATTCAAAGCATTCAGGGAGAAAAAGCAATGGTTTCCTTTGTTCTTGAGTCAAAACAAGTGCATGGGAGTATTAGAAGTGTCTGCTGTGTTTGCCTTGGCTTTTGAAAATGAAATATATGAGTCGTTAACATGCAGGTCGTTTGTTGACATATGCATTGACATAATCTTTGATTTAACGACGCTGTCCACTGCATCGAAGCAATTTCATTTAGATTGTATTATAGATTTCTCATGACAGTTTGACAGTACAAGGACGGAGCAATAACAAGATAGATGGGGTTACCGTGTTTAATTACTTCATGTGTTTCTAGAAGTGCATGCACATGTTCTCGCATTGTAACAGCTTTTTCGTTTGTGTCAAAGCGGTGAATAAAATCTCCAAAGCGCGTGTGTAAGATGAAATACATTTTGTTAAACACGAGATGTCAGAGACTAGTTTGACCTCTCCGTTTTCTGCCCGGCTCGCAGCTTTAATCTGTGGCTGACAGCAGCAGGGGGCCGCAGTCTGAAAATACTCAGAACAAGAGGTTATTTCACACCAGCTGACGTGTGTGTGTGTGTGTGTGTGTGTGTGTGTGTGTGTGTGTGTGTGTGTGTGTGTGTGTGTGTGTGTGTGTGTGTGTGTGTGTGTGTGTGTGTGTGTGAGTGTGTGTGTTCCGGGAG